AATAATTAAATATGAAATTACTAAATTGTCCTTTTTGAATTCTTCTTCTTATATATAAGGGCATTATTAAAAGATAAAATGGTATTTTCGAAATTTTATATCTTAAAAATGTCATGTGCAATGCGAATGACTAAATTTGTAACGAAATTGTAATCTTAAGCTCTTCTTTGATCATTTTTTCAAACTTAATGCACTTATATACCCAAAAAAATAAAAAATAAAAAAATTTGTTGAGGGTGATATTTGTCCAAACTTTAAACATTAGGAATGTTTTTGTCACTTTGCCCTATAAAATATCTTGCTAATGAACTAAGTTATTCAGAAATAATTTGGTCATAATATAACAAAAATCAATTCGTGTCCATTTATTTAGTAAATAAATCGAAGCTAAACAAATATATATAAATTGAACCGAAATAGTTTACGATTTGACTTGTTAAGCTCAAGTTAATGAAAAAACGTTTAAATAAAGAAGGGTAAAGTGAGAGAAATACTATTAATGTTTTAATTTTATGCAAATAGCACCTATATCATTTATTTTGGGTATATAACTCCGTTAAATTTGGAATAAATAAATAAATAAAAAAAGCAAATAAGGATTTATGTTGTGTATATAAGTCCGTTACGTTTTAAAAATGAACAAAATAAGGGTTAAAGTCACTCTTAAGATATAAAATTTCAAAAACACAATTATCTCTTCTTATAACACCCTTATAAGGATAAAGTGAGAAAAATACCCTTAATATTTACATTTTGGGTAAATAACACCCATATCCTTTATTTTGAGTATATAAGTTCGTTAAGTTTGAAAAAATGTGACAAAAAATGATTTGATGTTATTGTTTCGTTAAAAATTTATTTATGTGCATTGCACATGACATTTCTAAGATATAAAATTTAAAAATACCACTGTCTCTTCCGATAATGTCCTTATTTATATATATACGCACTTGTCGCATTCAATTATTTTTTCTACCTATTTTTTATTCAGTAGGGATACTTTAATCTTTTCAGCATTTGGGTCCTTGTTTGCACCAAAAATAAATGTTAAGGAGGCTTAGAACATATATGGGTTATATATTATATATGCATACCATAAGGGTGTTTTTTGCTCGCAACCTTATATCGCATATATAAAAAGAATGGCAGTTTAGTTATTTTACATTTAATTAATTTTTTTTATTATTTTTTTATTCAATTGAAAAGGGACACTTTAGTTTTTTTTAGTATTCAGGTCATTGTTGGCTCCAAAATTGAATGTTATGAAAATTTTAAAGCGTGTAGAAAGTTATACACTTTATATGCATATCATAGTAGTGTTTTTCGCTCGCGATCCAATAAAAAATGATCAAGATTTGAATAAATTCCTAGTAAAACTAGTTTTAATTTAAACTTGTTTTAGTTTAAATTCCAACTAATTTTTGAGATCAGCTTCAGTAAATAAACTTGAGTTTGAGTACTGAAATTATTAAACTAGCCAAGTTAAGAGTAAGTAGTAGTGTTTGCGTCAAGCTTAGGAACACTAAGTACCTTGATTAACTTGAGCTCATACACATTAAATGTTCAATTCTGTTCGACTCATTTACAATCTAAATTAAGACAGTAATGGATCTAACTAGAAATTTTAGGGCTGTTTGTTACGCATTTTATTTTTTATGTTTTTATTTTTATAGTTGTAAATAGTGAAAAAAACGTATTCGGTAAAAATATTTTATTTTGATCAATACCGAAACGTTTATTGAATAGTGTCAAAAAATTGAAACATTGATTTGGTGTTTGTACATATTTTTGTTCTGTAACAACTAGTACTGTAGTAACTAATTGTATCAATAAACAATCCCCCCCCCCCAAAAAAAAAAAAAAGAACTTTGAAATAACTTTTTAAAAACTAGCAACGTTTTTGTGTTTTTGCAGTTTTAAGAAAATAGAAACATAATTTTGCTTTCTTGAGTGGAAATAAAAAACAGAAATGATATTTATTAACACTTGTTGTTGTCACAAATTTGAAAACATAAAATAATAACTGTGTTTGGTAATACAACGTATTTGTTACAAAATGTACATAATATTCTTTAATTTTTTTTATTTTTTTCATGGCAAGAATTTTATTTTTACTTGAACATGAACTCTCATATTTAAAGAGCAATCCAACCACTCAGTCACGACACTTGGTTCTATTAATATCAAAAAGCCATAAATCTTGAAAATTTAATTTAAAATTATAAATCTTAAAAATGGCCAATATATTATAAGTACAAAATTAGATATATCAAAACAAAAACATTCCTACCGATTATGTATATAAACACATGTATATGCATTTATTATGTGATATATAATATATTTAGCATATGATAATTTATTATGAATAAAAAATATTAAATAATATATCTTATATGTAATAAAATATATATTGTGTTAAAATATTGTAAATTAATTATAATTTAATATTTACATATGATATAATAAATAATGATATAAAATATCTATTGCTTAATAATTTAATAACATTATATTCTGTATCAAAAATTATTTTGTCGAAAAAAATAATTTACATTATTATTTAATGTATTATATATTAAAATATGTTTTTATCAAATAGAAAATAATATACAATATTTAATTTATTCTATATTAAAAAAATATATTTTTATTAACATTTAATATGAAACTTAATATATAACACAAATAATATGAATTTTATTTGAAATAAATAGTGTCTGTGCAGTAACATCAGTGAAAACATTTCTGCGCTATAGTGCCGAAAACATAAGAAATATCATTTTGATGTTTTCTCTTTTCTTTACAAAAATTGAAAACGTTTTCTGTTATAGAAAAAATATAAATATTTTATTGAACGTAATTTTTGTTTTCGTTTTACCTTTTCAGTGATTGACAACAAAAACAAAAAACGTTTCTTTTTATTAAACGCAGCCAATTAACATGTTTTTGCTTTCAAAATTTTGTAACAAATAAACATTATCAAATATGTTTTCAATTACGATTCAAAACATCATACAACAAAACTTTTGTTTTTTTTTTTTGAGTTAAAACAAAATTACAAAAACAAAATGTATACTGAACCGACCTTTAATATAAAAATTAAAAATAAATTAAAATTTTATAATAATATTATTCAATATAAATATATAAATAAATATTTAGCCGAATCTAAATCGTATCATCGTGCTTTTAAAAAATTTAACATATCAATATATTCATGTCCTGCCTTATTCGCATTTGGTTTTCATATACGGAGTATATGTCTACTACAAACTATGTATTACGTATTATTTTCCGAAAGGAGTGTTGAACTGACAAAAGAAGTAATAGTTGGAAAGCAGAGTAGTCATTGAATTAGCCCACGTGATGTATTTGCTGTCACTCGATTGATTGAATGTTTTACCAGATAAAGAAAAAGCATTCATAATGTACCATGATAAATGTTGTAAATTGAAAGCCAGATATTTATGGGTGGGTCCCACACACAAAATATAATGGATTTTAGTAAATTCGTGTCTTAAATTCACTGTTCAAAATTTTAAGCTTCAATTTAGCATTATTTAAATTTTGTTTTAACCACACAATCTACTTTTTTGTTTATGTAAAGGTAGGATCCATATAACACCCAAATTAAAGTTGGCAACGTACTTGCGTATAACAAGATTTTGCAATTTTTTGTGATTTTATTGCAAGTATAAGATAAGTTTCCACAACCAGTAAAGAATATATATATATATATATATATATATATATGATCAACTTTTTTTTTCAGTAATTCAAATGAACTTGTCAACTCACTATTAATGAAATACATATACGGATATGGATACAAGACATTGGTATGATATGATATTAACATTCAGAGACGGAGTCGGAATTTCAATTAGGGGGGGTCAGGGCAGGAACAAGTGCTCCCTCTGAGCTCTGGTCTTGCATTAATATGATAAATCTCAAAAAATAGAACACGTGTATGAAATATATACATAAAATAATAATAATAATAATTTTATAAAAATAATTTTTTCCAATTTATTCATATAATCATAAATAAGATTACTAATATGGAGATTTTGTTATTTTTGTTTTGTTAAATTTTATGTATTTAAATTGCATCAAATTTGTAGTGTCTCTATAGTTCAGTGGGTTAGTGCATTCGGTGAATTTTGGATTGTCAAACTTCGACTCTTTCGTTTATTAATATTTTATGTATCCGAATCCATCCAACAACTGTTCAATAAGATCACGGTGCGTAGGAGAGATATTAGTGCTTCTTTGTAGCCAATGATGCTATACAATCTAAGTAGAGAAGGAGTCTAGTAAACATTTTATAATGCAAATTCAGACCGGTCCAGCAAAGAGTCTAGACCACATTTTCTTATTCGCATTAAATAAAATTAAAATTTTAATCTCATCCAATGCATCAAAGAAACGTTTTACCTCAGACTTTGGTGTCACATTGTGCTGTAATATGTATTTATATATATATATTTTAAAAAAAGTAACCTTAAAAAGATAATCAATGCAACCATTTGCCATCAAAAAGCTCCCATTAAAAAAGGAATCAATGTCTGTACTCTATTATGGTTGTCCAAGAATCATTGCACTTGGCTTTTATGTTTTAACCATCATCAAATTATTCAAACATTAGCACTCAAAAGACAACTACTTTAAAACAATGCCACGAAATAGACATTCGTGGGCTGTGTCTACGTTAACGCTTCCAAAAAAAAAAAAAAAAAATGACATTTGGACGTCTAAATCCGCGCCAACTCAGGGGCATTTTCGTCGTTACACACCGCCACGGCAACCTTTTCAGTTGCACAGGAGAACTAAAATATCCTATGCAAAACTCCCCTCAATTTTCCAAATAATTACAGCCTAACCCATTCCCCCAACCCCTATATCTTCGGCCTTTTTATCCCTCTCATACCAATACCCGTAATTTCATCCACTTATAAAGGGCATTTTATCCTCTTTATAAAACAACTCCATTTTTTTCAGCCCTCCACACCAAAGCTCACCGAAACTCCAACCCCCACCCCCCCTCTCTCTCAAAATTTCGTGTCTAGAGTGAGAAAGAATAAAGAAGGGAGAGAGAGTGTATACATACATATATATATATATAATATAGATACATATATATTATATATATATAGATAGAGAGAGAGAAGTGTGTTAAGATGGCGATTCCGGAAGCTGAGCGCCAACGAGTCAGGGCTCGAGCGGCGGTTCGGGAGCCGGTTCGAGGTAGGATTCCACGACGGCGGTTGCTGAGGGTGGCGTCGGTGGCGTGCGGGATACAATTCGGGTGGGCTTTGCAGCTCTCGCTTCTGACGCCGTACGTGCAAGAGCTGGGGATTCCACACGCTTGGGCCAGCGTGATATGGCTCTGCGGTCCGCTCTCCGGCTTCTTGGTCCAGCCGTTGGTCGGCCACATGAGCGACCGCTCCACCAGTCGATTCGGACGCCGGAGACCGTTCATCCTCGCCGGAGCAACTGCGATTATCATCGCCGTTCTCGTCATCGGCTTCTCGGCCGATATCGGATGGTTGTTCGGGGACAGAGGTGGGACTAAGAAGAGAGCTGTGGTTGCTTTTGTGATAGGGTTTTGGTTGCTCGATGTTGCTAACAACATGACTCAGGGACCTTGTAGAGCTTTGCTTGCCGATCTCACTGGTAAGCCTCTCCAATCCAAACATGCATATATCTATCTATCTATATATATATATATATTATATGGAGTTGAATTTGTATTGTTTTCGTTGAATTGTTGGTTTATTGAGGCGTAAATTTAAACCCTAATTTAATCTTTATGGTGGAGGATGTTCTTTCCTCTTTTACTACCGAAATCTGAATTACCAGCTTTGTGAGGGCATCTTTGCAATTATAGCTTTTTTATTTGTTTATGGTTAGTTTTTTAGATTGTGTGTCGCTGTTGCGTAATGCTCTGAGAACTTTTATTTAGTTGGATGGACAACTTTGCCCACTTGATTTAGTTCCATGGCAACTATGCCCCTTCAACTATAATCATGCCAAGGTTTTAGAAAGACTCCCTAGTCAATTTGATTTAGTATTGTTTGTTCTCTTCCTTATGCATTACTCTATTTAAAATTCCGCTTGTTAGATTTTGCATCTATTTTAGTCTTGTTTGTTCTCTTACTTATGTATTACTCTGTTCAAAATTCCGCTTATTAGATTATGCATCTGTTTTGGCTTTCGAGAAAACACCATTTCCACACATTTTACTCTGTTCAAAATTCCGCTTATTGATGTTCGGCTTCTGTTAATTTCTGTCATGTTAGGAAAGGATCACCGAAGGACTCGAGTGGCAAATGCTTATTTTTCGCTTTTTATGGCTGTTGGTAATGTTCTCGGCTTTGCCACTGGAGCATTCAGTAACTGGTACAAGATTTTCCCATTCACTGTCACTTCCTCATGCAATGTCAACTGTGCCAACCTCAAGTCTGCTTTCATTCTTGACATTGTTTTTATTGCAATCACTACATATGTGAGCATCTCTGCAGCCAACGAGTTGCCCCTAAATTCCAACAATGGATCTGCCCCTGAAGAAAGGTTGGAGCAGTCAAGCCATGCTGAAGAAGCTTTCCTCTGGGAATTGTTTGGAACTTTCAGATATCTCACAGGGCCAATCTGGGTAATCCTTCTTGTTACTTCCCTGACTTGGATTGGATGGTTTCCATTTCTTCTCTTTGATACTGATTGGATGGGTCGAGAAATTTATCGCGGCAAGCCAAATGAAGGGCAGAGTTATCATGTTGGAGTGAGAATGGGTTCGTTTGGTCTGATGTTGAATTCTTTAGTTCTTGGGATAACTTCAGTTCTGATGGAGAAGCTCTGTCGGAAGTTGGGAGCCGGTGTTGTGTGGGGAATTTCAAACATCCTTATGTCGTTCTGCTTTGTATCAATGCTCATACTTTCTTACATAGTGAGCAATATGGACTTTGAACCCGATGATCTACCTCCAAATGGTGTTGTAATTGCTGCGCTAATAGTTTTTGCAATTCTTGGCATTCCATTGGCGGTAAGTCACTGACTCACTGCATTATGCTTCTACAAGGAATAAAAAGATTTGTCGCACTTTCTAGTAATTTTCTAAAGGAATTAAAAGGAAAAACTGAAAAGATAATTGCCCTTTTTCATGGACTCTACCTCGCCAACATCTAATTGCCCTATTATGCTTACCTTCAGTTGATATCTCCCAGTTGATCCTAGCCATTAATATGAAATCTGCCTGGCAAAGTCACCTTCAAATATGTCATTACTCTCTCTCTCTCTCCCCAGTCAAGAAAAACGTGAACTTATAGCAAAAAAGAAAAAATAGTTCAAGATAACTGGAAGAATAGATTACCTACTATGGCTAGTCCATGATGTAGTGGGGCCTGACCTTATTACTCAAAACAGGGAGGTCAGAGTGAGGTCGGTAATTCAGACATCCAGATCTGAATATTTTTCTTTTGTGGCTTTGCAAGAAAACTCTGTTTAACTATTTTTTGCTTTATTTGAAACAATTTTTTGCAGATCACTTACAGTGTTCCATATGCCTTGATATCCACACGTATTGAGTCTTTGGGACTTGGCCAAGGTGGGTTATTATTGGAATGTTTTACTTTAAATAATTTTGGAGATTTGGGGCTTTGAGTGCTTATTAGATGGTTCAATCCTGCAGGGTTATCAATGGGTGTTTTGAACCTGGCGATTGTGGTCCCACAGGTATGATTCACTCCTTTTCTTTTGTGTTTGTTGATATTAACATTAGTTTATTTCTTAATCTTTTATAATTGCTAAAATGGCATTAAGTAATCTTCTTATGCAAGCACTTCCAACCAACGTTTAAAATCACCTCACAGATGCGGTCGTGGTTTAACGGATGCGGGGTGTAATACGCATTACACAATGGTATTGGAAACCTCGGTCATGAAATTTATTGGACCTTGCACACCATAGCCTAATCGTGTCATTTAACTCCAAAATCTAATAAATCTGGGTTGATCCACTGATCCAGGTAACGATCTTATATTTTTGAGGTTTGATTCATAGATATGATTTAGGACAAGTTTATAGGCGAGAGGGCTGTTTAAGGGAGAGGGGGAGAAAAATGGACAAAATTGGGTCTTGCTAACTTAAAAGGGTTGACTTGGCCATTTGAGCTGAGTCACCCCCAAGTCCCTTGTGATTTTCATTCTCAATGGTATACTTAGTCGTAGCAGGATTGAGTCTTACCCGAGTCAGTTACAACTCAGTCGAGTCGCCCCGTCTCGGCCGACAGTTTAAACCGTGCTTCTTACTCGTCAGACATTAGTGATGGTAATCTATGAAACCTTGTAAATTGTTCTCCACTTAGTAGTAAAAAACCCAAATGCCCACATGATGCCATCATGGCTATGCAAGCAATTTGCAGAAGCAGATAAGTTATCTCTATCACCAACTGTTTAGCTTGAGTAGTATTTTCTGCCACTCTCAGAGTGGGAGGTGCAAGGTTCATGTCTAAAATGGGATATGGTACGTGTTATATTTGACCAGGAAAAAAAAAAAAAAAAGGAATTTAATTGTATACATTAGCTTCTGTTGCCTTGACTTATATACTGGGGAAGGAGGAGAGGGGAGATTAATTTTCATTAGGGCTGAGAAATATGGAGTAGTCTCTAACTCAAAACATTCCCTGAATATACATATCTTCCATGGAGCTTTTGATTAAGCATTTTTAGCTTAGTTGAAATAAACCCTTGAACTGATTTATTTTATTCCTTCTTCGGTTACCAAGCAATGAATTAATTTTAATTTAGGGCATTTACATTGGAGTTCACCTAAGGGTAACTCCAATCCATTGGTCTACTTAAATGTATTTGGCTCAAGGTTGCATCTAATTCTCTAAAAAGAAATGCAGTTTCATTTCATAGAACCTCTCCTCCATTTAGAGGGCATTGCTATGAAAATGATGCACATATAAAAAGTGTTAGTTTGGCGGTTGAGCCATATCAATAGGCTTTTGCCCTGATCATCCTAGGAATATTATTTGATCATTGTTGTGAGTCTAGCAAACGATTATTTTACTAAGTGGGTAAAAAATAACCCATAAAGTTGATCTCATACTTAACATCACCAAATTTAACAAAGAAGACATTAACCATATATTTGATCTACTATAATGCATAATGATTATTATGAGGGATTAAGAGGATCAAATTCAACTTTTAAATTCAATCCTACTTTATGCTCAGACTGAGGTTCCTCACATGTTTATCAAATCAATCATTGAGAGGGTGGTCAAAGATAACTCAAGGGTTTGGCATGGTCTATTATGTTTGACATAATAGACATACCGACCTTTAAAGAGGATATGCAATGTACAATGTACATTTATTTTGACTTATAGTGGTGGTATTTTACCATGGAGATAATGTCAAAGTCATTATAGTTGCATTGCACAACAATATTTGTACTGTCTAATACACCCAAGCTAGGCTAATTGGAAGGGGAGGAACATCTTGGTCAAAGATAACTTGAGGGTTTGGCATCATCTATTATGACTGACATAATGGACATACCGATCTTTAAAGAGGATATGCACTGTACAATGTACATTTATTTTGACTTATGGTCGTGGTATTTTACCATGGAGATAATGGTAAATTCATCAAGAGTTGTTTTGCACAACAATATTGGTACTGTATACTCCCAAGATAATTGGAATGGGAGGACATGGATGTTCAGCTAGGAAGCATGGACACAGAGAAGGACGAAATATCCGTGTCACGCGTCGACACTCCAAAAACCGTTCTTTAGTTTTTTATTTTTTATTTAAAGAAATGAGCATGCAATTGACATGCTGTAGACGCACAACAGACATGCAGTGGACACTCTTCTCGTGCAAAAATGGTTCTTGGACATTGCTTAAAAGTGAAAGTGAGTCACATCACCAGTAGTAGGGCTGCAAGTTGGGTTGGCCCAACCCAGCCCAGCCCCAACCCAACCTCAACCCGAATCGGGTTGGGTTGGGCCAGCCTAAATTGTACCCAACATGGGTTGTGGTTAGAATTCGAACTAAATATTTTCGGACGGGTTGACTGGTTGAGTTTTTTTTTTTAATTTTTTTTTTTTTTTGGAAATATATATATATATATATATATATATATATATATATATGTATGTATGTATGTATATTATATATATTTGATTATATTATTATTAAAAATATATATATTTTTAGGGCAACTCATTTCAGCCTCCCCAATCGCCTCCATCTCTATTCTCGTTCTCAACTCAGAAATTGCCCCCTCTTTCTCTCTCTATGCAACTGCAAACTACAAAATCAACAAAAATCAGAAGTTCAAAACCCATATATTTCAGTTTATCTATCTGTATTTCTATTAGCTGTTCTCATCACTCAGAGCTCTTCCAATCGCATTGTGTATCCTCCTTACACTTCATTCTATGTGTTTACACACACACACACACACACACACACACACACACACACACACATATATATATATATATATATATATATATATATATAAACACATGTCTATGAGATCTGTAATCGCCCGATGATGGAAAATTTCACAAAAAGAATTTTTTTTATACAAATCCACAAAGACCCAGTAAATCATTTGAACATATATCCATGAATGCACAAAACCACTGGCCCTGACAATAAACTAATTGAAATAACTGCTAATCATGTGAGGAATGAAAAAACATGGAGCAATTTGGGAATACCATAATGAATCACAGATAAATTATACACATACATGTGTATATATATATATATAGAGAGAGAGAGAGAGGGGGGGGGGGGGGGATTTGGGGAACCTTCCAGCTGTGAGAGACTGAGTACTCGAGTTTGTGGACTATGTATCGGCACCATGTGGAGAGAGAAACCATCGCGAGTTATGAATCTATCATCGGCAGTGTGTGTAGAGAAGTGCATGGACGGCGGCAGAGAGAAAGAGAAAGAAGAGGGAGGAGAGAGAAAGGAAAAAAAAAAAAAAAAATTCGGGTTTTGGGCTGGGTTCGGGTTGAGCCTGAGCCCAACTCGAATATGTCTGGGTTTTGACAAAACCCAACCTGAATATAAACCCGATTTGTGAATATAAGCCCCAGTTTCAAAATTTCTGGGTTGGGCTGGGTTAGCCCACCCAAGTTGCAGCCCTAACCAGCAGCCACTTAATCATCATTCCATCCCATTTATAATAGGCAAAAATATATCAAGAGGACTTACCACATCCACCCAACACTTTATATTCCTGTAATATAACTTCTATCTTTAGCCTAGAGTAGTGTAATGTTGGCTAGGTAGCTTAGTTCCTAGCATAGTTTAGTTAATATATATCTTGCATACGCCCTGTTCAACTCCATGTACAACTGAATCTGCATCCTCTCCGACAATGTACTTGATGTACCTCAAGTGTGTGCATTCCATTGAATGAGAGTTCCGGATTATTTAATTGTACACGGTAATGCTTCATTTTTTTTGCAAACAAACAGTAATTTTCACTGTGATGTTGAAACTAAAACCATTCTTTTATAAAAAAAAAATCCTTTATTTTTTTGTGTTGACTGTGTGCATAAAGTTTCACTGTGAATGCATATCACTGAAATCCATCTGAACTATTTATGCACTATGCGAGAAGCATTGTTGTATAAATGTATAGGACCATAGTATTTAAGGCAAGCATGCATTGGTAACATGAATACTTTAATAAAAATGGAAATTATGATGTTAATGATGACGATGAGACAAAAGGTGGTCAACTGGTTACTATCAACTGCTGGTGGCCGAGTTTGACCTGAAATCATGCTAAATCAATTGTAGGACATTTTTTGTGTTATTTCTCTAAACAATGCATTTATGAGAAGCATGAAAACATATTGGCCTAAGTGGAGGAAAAAATCTTTATAGACTATTGGAATTTGTTGGAGCCTATGATGAATAAAAATTGAAAATATCTATCCTTTGCATTATGTTTAGCCATTGTTTTTTCTTAGTGCTCGTTATTAAACCTTTCTGCTATTCGTTTTAAATAAATGCGAGTGAGGAACTAAGTACACTAGCACACTTACAAATTAGAGGAAAGCTTTTGATAGCATGTATATCCACTATTCATGTTTTTAGCCATTTAGGTGATGAAGCTTTGCTGTTTGAGAACAGGTTGTGGTGTCTGTTGGAAGTGGACCATTGGATCAGCTTTTTGGTGGTGGTAACTCACCATCCTTAGCTGTGGCAGCAGTCGCAGCCTTTGCCAGTGGACTTGTAGCCATCTTGGCTATTCCTCGATCTAGGTCTGATAAGTCCGGGTCCCATCATTGAGGTACCAATTTGTATTTGTATTTGTTTATTAATTTTTTTGCATATCCATTTTCCGACACGGAGAGTAAAATGTCAACAAGTATCAAGAATATTGTAAATAGCTTTTCTTACTTTTATGGATTTCAATAAAGTCATTTCCTGCCAAATTTCTGTTCATATAGATCTTTTTTCCCCCCTCTTATAATTGAGACTATTGAAGTGCCTGGATAAAGTTTCCTCTTATATATTATTGGCTAAGCTAATGAAATTGTAGTTCAGATAAATTGCTTTCCATGTTGCAGATGACACTTTTGAGTTTCTAGACCAAGTAGAAGGGCTGCAGGCCTTTGTAATATTTTTTTATTCTTATTTTTTATTTTTCTTGTTTTTCAACTCACAAACAGTTTCTTTGAAACTTTTGTGACTTGTTAAATTATGTAGAGAGGAGTCTGAGGTTGTGAGAAGTAGTTTTTATTTGCTTAAACTATAATGCTGAGTGGTATGATACAATTTCCTATATTTACCCTTAATTTTATGATAAGGAGAGTATAAAACAAAATTTGAGTTCCTTGGCTCGTCGGGATATTATGTTAACAAAGTATGACTGTACTTCAAAATGGAGGTCTTACCAAGATGCCTTGTTGGCATTATATAGTAGTATCTAACGTAGTATAACAATAAATAATAAGGATAAATTGCAGAAAACACCCCCGTGGCTTATATATAGTGCATATAACACCCTGCCTGGTTTAAAAACACTCCTCCTAATGATTTGGTTCAAATAGGTCCTTTATGTTAACCTGCCGTTAACGGAGCTATACAATTACTAAAATGCCCATGGGATGACGTAAGGAAAAAAATTGAAACAACTATCAAAATGATGATGTGGTTCTCCCCTTCATCAGTCATTTGCAGTCTATGTTTCTCTCTCTCTCGATTAAAATCATTTGGATTCTCAAAGTTTCGATTTCGATTAAATGCACAAAGTATTTGGATTCGACTTGTCTGGAGAACCCCATTGTTATCCCTACCTCTTGATTTCCCGCTGGCGACGTTTTCATCAACTTCGCTGTCTCTCTCACCAGAGCTCCGTCCCCTCTGACTTATCATCTGCATCAAAAGCTTTACGCAACTTCATCGACACTTGATTCCCAAAGCGACGCACAGTGATAGGCCTAGCAAACAAAGGGCTAGCTTGAGGCCCCTTGGTTTTTGTCACTTCAGTCCTTAAGCTTTCTCTCTCTTTCGTTGAATACAACTGTTTGCTGTTAAGAATTTGCAGGACTATGCTTGGGCTAAATATGTCGTTGGCCGGCCGATCCAGACCAGGGTAGTGTCAAACGGAGGGGGGAGAGAGAGTTCTGTCTGAGAGAGATGGCCTTGTTGCTAGAGAGAGAGAGAGAGAGAGAGAGAGAGAGAGAGAGAGGATGATATGACTGGGTTTGGGTGAGTTGGTGGTAAAATTGGTGGAGGCATTAGGGATGAATTTTCTGGCCATGGTCCTAGGCCGTAGGCATATTTTGTCTCTGTAATTGGTTCTCTTGGCTGATCATGGAGCTCAGAGGACTAGAGGAGAGAAAAGAAATATGCAATGCACTGATGGTGTTTGGGGGGTATATATTCGGAGTGAAACAGAGATAGATGTAGAGAGAGAGAGACATAGCTTCAAGAGAGAGAAAGAGACACCTTAGAGAGGGAACGGTGCTTGCTGCTAGAGAGAGGAAGGGTTGAGACGATACGCGTATATATATGTGGTAGTGCCAGGGGAATTTTCGGAATAAAAAGTGGCACTTTTGTCTTAAAATAAATAGTCATTGCTCGTGATGGTCGCCTTACAAATTTTGCACAAAAGTTTCAAATGTGTAGCATTTATATACACAATTGGCACTACAGGGGCGTTATACGCACTGTATATATACACCACATGGGTGTTTCAATTTATCCCAAGTAATAATAACAATAATTCTTCAAGAATAATGATGACGATGAATATGTAACAGACTTGCAGGTATGGCTTTGTCACGCCTAAACTAGGACACTGATTGTTGACCTAGCTCCTGCCTAAACAATGGGAATTTGCAAAATCAAAATTTGGCATTTAGACAAAGCACCCCTAACCAACATGACTAAACAGTTTATTGTCTTCAAGCTTTTTGGATTTTCTATACAGCGATGGAGATGGACACAATGCTTAAAGAAGCAATTGTAGGAGAATAATCAACTGATTCAACTCATAAAACAACAAATTTTTTTTTTTTTTTTTTGCACAAAATGGCGACTCGATGATATACTGGCTGGGACAATGCTTTATGGATGAAGTTCTCTGGCATTTAGCGGAGAATTCCTTGATGAGGAATAAGGCCATATAATAATGTTGCTTTACGGCTATCCAACATCTTGAAGCCTTAGCCAGCGGATTCCAAGAGTACTCTCAAGGCTTCTTCACTAACCAAGATAAGTTGCTAGTGATTGGGAATTATTCCTCATGAAAATATCACCTTTTTTATACAATGTTGATTGCACAAGGGTAGTTCAATCATGATGCCCTGGAATCTTATGCAATTTGTGCATAATAGTGTATGGATCTTGGTGGCTAAGATGCTGTGTTTTTTTTCACTGAAACCTTGATGAAGACGTGCCTAATATGCTATGATTTTTATCTAGTTTTCCCTGTTTTAGTATTCCTTTTAATTTACTTGCACATTCATCCGAACCTTCAGAATGAATTCTATGTTTATTGCACTCCGTACCTAGGGAAGTCTCGCTTACTCACCTACTATGTCGGATTTAGCCTGTGTCAATAGTTTAATTAGGATGACATTTTGTCTTCCATTAATTTAAGATGATAGATTTACAAATTTTGCTCTTGGATGCATGATTCAATGTTGGTATATGTATGCCCATATATCGTTATACAGTCACTAAAGCCCCGTGTAGGAAACTTTTAGAGGAGAAAGTTGAGGAATAGAATCTGTGAATATATTCTTGTTTCTGGATAGTTTAACACCTTTTCCTATCTTTGCTGTTGTACTAAAAGAGAAATGAAAAATCCATATCCTGTTGAAAACTTGCTTGAACTGTTATGCCCATCATATTTATGATGTTTTAGACTGGTATAAATAAAAGAATAACTTGGAAACAATTTTCTGATGTATGGTACAAGTGAATCACATCCAATCTTCATCCAGGAACTTTTCTGTTTTATTACTGTAAAAATTGGTGTATTCCATCTCCCAAGTCATTATTGTAAACTCATGATGAGGTTTAAAATATTTTTTCTCCTCACTTCTTACCATGTAACATTGAATGAGAGTAATGAATTATTTAGTTGTACACAGTTTATATTCTCTCTCTCTCTCACTCACTCTCTCTCTCTATATATATATTGTTGCATATCACATAGCCTCAAGACTGTCAAACTTATTGAAATGGACACAGATGGTGCCTGATTTTGATGATACATGGTTTTCAGGAAAATAATATCTTATGCAGAGAGAAACTGAAAATCTGAAGTTGCTCAGACTGTATGAGTGAAATATATATATAGAAGCTCAGTGTTCTTTATTGTTTGAGAAGAGTGATGGTAGGGTTTGGTGTTAACTTTGCAGGCACGGAGGCTGAAGGCTCCTCACTTTGAGACACTCTCAACTCTGTCATGAGAGAAGGGATACAAATTAAATGGTTGGTATTGGAGCACGTAGTCGTCTTGCAGTGTTCCCTTTCCTCATTCTGTTGGTTCTCCATATATTTATCTTTTGTCACCCCATTAGCACCATTGGTCCCATACTTTCACACAGCACCATCAACCCCATATGCTCATCGAGATAACATTTTTTATTACTAGTAAAAAGTGGGGAAAAAAAATCCTCTATATGTATCCCTCTGGCAAGAAATTGTTAGATAGTTTTTGATCGTATGTCACTTGATGGTTCGGTTCAATCAAAATTCATTTTCAGGTTTCTTTGTAATACCTTTATTAGTCGAGGAGTATCTAAAATTTCTCCTAGCGAAAAATTATTAGATAGTCTTGGGTCACGAAGTACATGTCATCTTCTGTTCGTTCCTGAGGTAAAGGTTTTAGGGTTTCAAGTTGTGACATAATGGGCCTGGTGTCGAGGGTTTTGGCACTAAGGGTAGCTTTCAAACCCTAATAGAGGGACACGGAGTGGAGGGGTGTGGCACTTGAGGAGAATGTTGGTACCCGACTAGGAAAATGTGTTATCCCATTATTGGACTTTGAAGTCTCAAATCTTGTAATTGTTATAAACCAAACAGTTTAGTACCTGTTGGGACAACAGTAGGTGTGATGTGTGTTACCTAGTAGGTAACACTTGATCTGATTGCTTTAAACTAGGTTCTTAATGGACCACAAATCGTCTTATCCATCAGTGAATTTAGTTCTGTTACAATACTCGCCATGCCAGAACTCTCGCTCTCTCGTGTAACCTCAAGAGAGAGAGAGCCCAAAACAGATTTATACGCAAGTTGATTACGAGTCAAATCGAACAAGTTGTCAAGGCTCTGTTTGGCTGTTAATGGATTCAGTCAGCATAAGTCGTCCTCGGAGTGGGGTTTATTATCACATGGGTTGTGAGAATAATAGTAGATGTATGGTAATAGAAGATGCATAGCTGCCTTAGAACATGCCAACATTCCCATGACAATGCTTGGCTTCTTTGTCAAATAGATGTGCCAAAATGCCCCGTCATTTCACAAATCACAAGCAGTGAGAATTGCTTCTCAATCCCATTCCACTTGCCAATCCAAACACAACTAACCCATTCCTTTTCCCTTTCTTTGTAGGAATTAAAACCTACGGTGAAGGTTTAAAAGATTACGGCTTGTTCGGTTTGTAACTCTAAAAACAGTTTTTTATTTTCAGAAAACAAAAAATTGCATAGAGTTTCAGTTTTTTGAAAACTCAGTTATAAAACTGTCTGTTTTCAAATAACTGTCTTTTATTATTCAGTTTTTTAAAAGCTGTGAAAATAAAAAATTGTATAAGAAACTATTTTCTTTCAATTTTTTGAAAATTCAATTATAAAAATGTCTATTTTTAAAGAACTGTCTTTTTATTGTTCAGTTTTCTGAAAACTGTTTTTAGATAAAACATGCATGCCCTTATCCTCTGACAAAAAATCACAGATTTGAGCAAAAAGGTGAATTAATTTAGTTCCGCCATTACCAACATGCTAAAAAGGACTTACTGTTATCAACTGACCATGTTTCTGGACTAAAACACTATCATTTGGACACATATGGTCGTTAAAAGCAATCATACACACGAATCCTTTGACTATGAGATAATACCAAACCTGGCCTTGCTCTATTTCTTTTGGTACGCTACCCAATAAAAGAAGTTCCATAACTCATGACATATGTTCAAATTAGGAGAATCAAGGAAGTAGAGAGAGAGAGAGTAATAAGGCCCCTCCTTGGCCTCCAAAGGATCAGATCCTCTCTTTTTATAAATCCAGAGGGGATCTGGATTTTATGGAGTTGTTCTATAAATGATATGAAGTTTTTACGTATGGGATGGGATGGGAAGTTATTGCATTGAGACAGGATGCGGTACAAGATGAAATGACACAAGAGAGGATCCGGATTTCTCCTGTACTGGGGTGCAGTACAGTAGTGGATCTCAACTCTCCATGAAAACATGTATGGTTCCTCGCGTGATCTATTGTCTCGTTCATAATAAGCCAATAATATGTTCATATTATGTATGTTTCAATCACAACCCTTTATTATTGTACTATACGCCGTTGTAGTACAACAATGGATCTCAACTATTTAGCAAGACGTTCATAGTTCTTCACCTGCTATTGACACGTTCACCAACAGTAGGTTCCAATCATTTCATATAATGTGTTTATATATGACCCATCCCCTATGCCTGCCTCCCAATTCAAAGTCCCCCCAAAACAGACCAAACAGACAAGCACAAATAGGGTACCTTTTTTTTTTTCCCCGGCAACGTTATTATCTTTTAAAGAAAACTTTTTTGTGCTACAAAGCCATCCTCTCCATCCTCATTTGTCTCAACTTGGGAAACCTATTTCATAGACCCCAACAAATCCATGGATCTTCCAACTGATTTTGATGATCATGAACTCCATAGATGGCCAACTCCTGCTGAGGTAAAAACAAAACAACCATTTAGAAGGACATAAAAGAACATTTACTAATATAATTTATGCATGCACGATATATGTATATATATAGTCACTTCCTTAAGCAGTTTGTTAATTTTATCTTTAACAAACAATCATTTCTTGGATTTTTCTCTTGGTTCTTGCCTTTAGGCCCTTGAAGAAATCAAAGCAATTGGCAAGATCTCATGCCCAACAGCTATCACTGGTCTACTTCTATATTCAAGAGCCATGATCTCCATGCTTTTTCTTGGACATCTCGGCGAGCTTGAGATGGCCGGTGGCTCTCTGGCAATCGGTTTCGCGAACATCACTGGCTACTCTGTCATCTCTGGCTTGGCCATGGGCATGGAACCCATCTGTGGACAAGCCTATGGAGCTAAACAATGGAAGCTTCTTGGCCTTACTTTACAAAGAACCATGCTTCTACTTATCTCGGCCTCGATACCCATCTCCTTCATGTGGCTTAACATGAAATCGATCCTCTTATGGTGTGGACAAGATAAAGAAATCTCATCTATGGCTCATACTTTCATCGTTTTTGCCATTCCTGACCTCTTCTTTCTTTCACTTCTACACCCTCTTCGTATCTTTCTCCGAACACAGGGCGTTACATTGCCATTAACATACTCTTCAGCAATCTCTCTTCTCCTTCATGTGCCTCTTAATTTCCTTCTATTAGTCCATTTCAAGATGGGTATTGCAGGGGTGGCCATATCCATGGTTTGGACCAACCTCAACACTTTCCTTTTGTTGTGTTCATTCGTATACTTTACCGGCGTGTACAAGGCCTCGTGGGTGGCTCCGAGCATGGAATGCCTCCGGGGATGGGCCTCGTTGCTTGAGCTCGCTGTGCCAACTTGTGTCTCGGTTTGCCTCGAGTGGTGGTGGTATGAGCTCATGATAATGCTGTGTGGACTTCTTGCTAATCCAAAAGCAACCATTGCTTCAATGGGAATCCTTATTCAAACCACTTCTCTAGTTTACGTCTTCCCATCATCCCTAAGCCTTGGAGCCTCCACAAGAGTAGGGAACGAGCTAGGCGCAAACCGGCCGGTGAAAGCGCGCATTTCCATGATCGTGTCACTTGCTTGCTCGGTTGCTTTAGGCCTTGCAGCCATGTTGTTCACCACCTTAGTGAGGCACCAATGGGGCCGGCTTTTCACGAAGGACGCGGCGATTCTTGAGCTCACCGCGATAGCATTACCAATAGCCGGACTGTGTGAGCTAGGAAATTGCCCACAGACCACTGGTTGTGGGGTGCTAAGAGGAAGTGCAAGGCCTAAAATTGGAGCAAATATCAATTTAGGGTCATTTTACTTGGTGGGTATGCCGGTGGCTGTCTTCATGTGTTTTGTGGCTAAAACCGGGTTTGCCGGGCTGTGGCTAGGGTTGCTTGCAGCTCAGGCCTCTTGTGCTATGTTGATGCTCTATGTGCTATGCAAAACAGATTGGAAAGTTCAAGTGGAGAGAGCAAAAGAGCTCACGCAATCATCTTCTATCAGCACAATATTACCAATATCATCCTCCTCAAAGCAAGCTCTAGAGTGTATCAGTAATGAAGCTAACAAAATGGCTAATGATGTTGAGGTGGTTTTGTGCACTAATGAGGAGTTAAAGTCAGATTCACTTGAAAAGAACCCTCTCCTATCCACACACACATTGTGCGTTAATTAGGGTATCTTTCCATTCTCTTCCCCTCCCCTCCACCCTCTTGCAGGGATTCAGATCCTCTCCAGTTCTTCCCCGTTCTCACCTTTCTATGTTCATTATGTGCACTGTTAGATTAACATTGCAACATGTTACATCACAGATACAACGTCGTATCACTTAGGCAACACATCTACATCAAACATGTAACATCCATGTCACATATTATACCCGTGTTGCACAGATTCTACGATGTTGTAACATCATTTGATCGAAAATTCAGCCTTTTTACGTAGTTAATTCTAAATTGTTGGGTGTTGATTTAGACACACTGGATGACACCGAACCAAAAAATTGCACGGAAGTGGATTAGATGCAGAGTCCACGTGAAATTTGTTTGTTTTTTTGTTTTTTTTTTTTCACCTTTTTTTTTTTTGCCCTTTTCTTTTTAACGTGTATTAATGTATTTGTAGAATAAAAATTATCAAAGCATCAATTCTACATACTCCATGGCAGGGCCGGCGGAGCCAGAAATAATAGGTTGGAGGGGCCAAATTAATTTTATATAATTAAAATTACGATTAATATATATATATATATATATATATATATATATATATATATATATATATATATATATATTAAGAGCATGTCTATTATGAGAATTTTTATTTTATTTTATTTTATTTTATTTTTTCTTAGTTGGTATTCATATACATGTGTTTTTACTGAGACTTGAATTTTTAATCTCCCTTTAAAGAAAGGATTTGGTACCGTTTAACAACTGGTCCGTTGGTTATTACGAGAATTCTTACTTCTTCATTTTCCCCCCTTAATATTATAAGAAAACTTTCACTAGTTGCATTTTTGTAACTATTAGATTTATTTTATTATTATTATTATTTTCACGGCAAGAAATAGACACACCTCACACACACATTTTTTGTTGTTTATACTCGACTTGAACCCCTTCGCATTTTGTTGTTTATACTCAACTCGAACCCCTTCACACCTTTTTGAGAATGAAAATATTCTACCAGTAAATTAAATGCCAGTTAGTTGAAACTATTAAATTGAAAACCTAACGTTTACAACCTTATAGTAATCGTTAGCCTAAAAAAAAACCTTATAGGTAATGATTAAAGTGAGTAAGCTTAGTGAGTTAATAATAAAAGGCAAAAACTAAATAAAAGAAGATGCTGTCATATGATAAAAGAGGCCGCCATCAAGCACGGGACATCCCTTTTCTCTCTCTTGAATTCATTGTGTGTAGTGTGTGTCTATATATATATATATATATATATATTTGAATGCAACATTGATATTATGTTAAAGGTGACTATTTGTATTTATGTATTATAATCGTATCAGGATATTATATTATACAAGTAAATTCAAACCAACTCATTTAATAATCGTGTCAGGAACTTTTAACATTAACCTGACCTATTTATTAAACTAATTAACGTGTTAACCTTAATGACATGTTTATTAAAATAAAACAATTAATATTTAATCAAATAATAAATACTAAAAATTTTTTGTCACAATAAACCTAAATATTCAAAATAAGAAGAAAAAACATAAGGCGTAAAAGTTTATGTTGAAATAACTTAACTGTCTATTGTAATTAAGTTTAAACGGATAAAATATTACATATGTCATATTCACGATTATGACATGTCGAGTTAAACGGGTTAAAAGGGTATAAACGCCCTCAATCCTAATCTGATACGGTTAAGTAAACGGGTTAATCGTGTCAACATGTTTATGACCCGAACCAGCGTAAGATCAACCCAAACCCGCTTATCTCGTGCCGTGTTCGAGTCGTGTTGACAGTCGTGCTGTAATTTGCCACCCCTAATTATGTAGCAAGGACTATAACTGTAGTAGAATTATTTTTTCTTTCACTGAATTTGGATTTTTAAAAAAATACTAATAAAAATGTATTAATTATGAACTTTTGAAGAACACTGTACGTATGAACACTTCTAATTGTGCAAATGCTTTTTTTTTTAAATAACAAATAATATCTACACGGTGTGGATTCATACTTTCTAATTGTGTAAACACTTTTTAAGGAAAATTAGGAATAATACCTTCACGGGATGGATGGGTGGATCGTAACAAATGAGGATGATGGGTGTATACACGTTTTGATCTACACATTACCATCGGGACAGTACTTAGGTCCTCACTAGTGAAGATCTATAACATCCTCACCGCTAATGTTGACCGCTAATGTTGACCAATAATAAATGGACACGTCCTATTTTAATTACCAAATTATAAATGATAATCAAATCTGTTGATCAAATACCCTAATCCATTAGTTTTGATGATAACAAATCAATAATGAAGTGTTTTACTAATGGTTCAACTGAGTTTAAATGTAAGGAAATGAATGCCTTGTTATAGAAAGGATGGAAGGGACTTCAAGTTATCATATGGTCACCTAAAGCATCAAGAGGCTGCAAATGTTCTTTAATGTGTTCATAAGCATCTAAAGATTTCAAGAAGAAGGGTAGCTATGGAGAGGTGTGTCAGAGTAATGGATGGATCTAAGTAAAGCTTCATCTCACTATAAATGTATATACAGTGTTTTAAATGAAATTCAAAGGGTCAAAATATGTTCTTGACCATCTACAAAAGAAAAGGGCCTAAAATTCAAAGTTCAAGCAGCATACGTCGACTGGTTTGATACACACGTCGACCAGTATTTAGGTAGTGGTAAAAATCCAAGTTAAAGCTCATATACGTTGACCGGTTTAATACATATGTCGACCGGTATCTAGGGAGTGGCAAAAATCCAAGTTGAAGCTCATAAACGTCGACCGGTTTGATGCATAAGTCAACCGGTATCTAGGCAGTAGCAAATGTCAAAATGAAGCTCATTTTACGTTGATTGGTTTAAAGCATACATCAATCGATTCATGAAGAAAACGTCGACCAGTTTGTAGCATACGTCGACCGGTTTACAGCATACGTCGACCGGTTTATTCCACATGTTGACTGGTTTGGTCGCAGGTCTGCAGATTCAAATTTGTAACGGCTACAACTTCATTTAATGCTCCTAACTACCTTCAACAGCTCTATTGAACTCAAAATATCTACAAATACAGAAGGTTGGTCTACAAACAAAGTGCCTTATAAGTGAGAACATTCAAGAACATCATTCAAGAGCATTCAAAGAGCCTGAAATTCTGATATGAGTATTTACTTCTCATTTTTCTCTCTCATATCAGTTCAGAGACTAGAGCTTCATTTACTTCATCCACTTGCTCTAGTGTGAGAGTTATTCTTGTAATATCTTCTAGAGAAAGAGAGAGAGAAACAATATTGCAATCTTCATCTATATATCTCTACTATTTTGTAAGGGTTGGTGTGACCCAAAAGTAGAGCTTAGGAGAAAGGTGTTCTCTAAGCAAGGAAGAAAAGCAAAGTCTTGCTTCAATTGACGATTTGCTCTCCACCATTAAGGAGGAGCTTTAGTGATTTTGGAAAGTCTCAAGGGAGGACCTTGAGCCGAGGAGTAGGAGCTTCCAAACCTCGCTAAATCGCCGAGTCACTGTTTGCAATTCCCTATCTCTATCCTCTTTAATTGTGCTTATATTGCTTGAATATTTCATTTGTGTATTGCATTCTATTTAGTTGTGACTAACAAAATCACTATGTCTGATTTGATAAGTGAATATCTACTCATCATTTTTGATTTGGTAATTAAAGATCACATGTCAATTTATGCGCCAAAACTCACCTTCAAAAAATTATTATTATTATTATTATTATTATTGAGTAATGTTAGAAAAACCAATTGGTTTTTATAATGACTCCAATAATTAGAGTCCAATAAGGACAATTGTAAGTTTTAAAAATGTTAGGGCTGTGCTTGGTTTAAAATAATTAATAGAAACTCATAAAATAAAAAACTATTTTTAAAGAATTATAAAAGACATTTATTTGAAAACAAGTTTTTTTATAATTGAATTTTTTGAAAATAATAGAGTTTTGTAATTTTTTAACTTTGCCATCTAAAACCTGAAACCTATTTCTAGAATAACAAGTCTAGCAAATCCTTATACTCCGTATTATATATCTTAAATATTTATCTCAATTATTTAGTCGGTGACAAGTTTATTTTATTTTATTTAAAAAAAATTCCTTTTCATCGGCAACATTGACAATTACTAAGAAAGAATTGGGGAGGGGGGCCAGCTGCCGGAGCAGTCAGAGTGGTTAAGCTGTCGGGTTGTTTAGACATATATGGCAAACACTGCCAAAATACGAGGCCTCACCATTAATGTCTAAAATGGAAATCTCTGCCAAAATCACCCATTTTACATATATCTTAACACCTATTTCATCTTTTCCATTTCTTTCTTCACCAATGTCAATATTAATATTCTTTTCTTATAACAACCATATGTCTTGAAAAATGCTGACAGTTTCTCGGAAAATAATAAAATAAAAATAAAATAAAATAGCATTGCAAAAATGTAGTCATATAGAAATCAAAGGGTTTTTATTTTTTTTTTATTTTTTTATGAAGTAGAATTTTTGCAACTACTCGTTCTTTGGACTTGTACTTATCAGGTAAATTTTCGGCTATCTACCCTGATCTCAGGATAAAAAATTACATTTTAAATCAAAAATTTATAGAGCTAAAGGAGAATCGAACGAACACCCAAATATTACATACGGGCGTCTAGCACTTAGAGACTCCCCATACACCAACTCTACTACCGAAAAAAATTTTTGGAACTAACCATACTCGTTCATTTGGATAAATAATAATGGTTAAGAAAAAGCAAAAAGAAATATGAAGTGTTTTTTTTTGGGTAAGTAAGAAATATGAAGTTCGATAAGAGATATTCAAGATTTCCAAGGTACTATTGATTGGTTGCTTGTGATCAGAGATATTTTGTTATAATCTTTGATCCTTAGGGGTACGGAATTTGAATAATTCCTTGCACACGCCAAAATGGCAAGACTTGTTAGAGGTCTTGAAATTCATAGAAAGAATAGGAGAGGTCCCAGCCGATATTGAATATGTGTCGGTGTGGAATGCGACAATCACATTCACGTGGAGTTTGTTTGCACATTCTTTTCTCGGTGGTTTTATTCAAGCTAATAACCGCTCTACCAAGCCACGTGGTCATACCATATTCAAAGGTCAAAAAAAAACAAATTGGAATCAACCTAGTGTGGGTGTGTGTGTGTGTGAGAGAGAGAGAGAGTTTACAAAGAAAGTAGTGAAGAAGAATGAGCTAAACTGGGAGTAGAGAAGTATCTGTACTTGAAGGACGGTGGGGGGGCCCTGGCTTTAAGTGAAGAAACAAAATCCAGCTATTACTTCCTCTGTCGACTTCTCATAAGACAAAATGGGAGCAGGGCCTCTTCAAAGTTGTTTCAAATCCAAAACCCCACCACCTGAGCCTCTAATGCATCTATAAACGTTAAACAACCAACAAAAAAACACAATTTTTTTAGAGAAACAAACAAATTCAGATGGGTGATTCTCATTCCAATCAAAATATATCCCTGATATTCGTGGGTGGTTTTTTTTTTTGGATAAATTACACAAACTACCC